ATCCCCTCCCACCACCACCACCGCATAGCTGCTTTGTGAACCGGACGCATTGCAATGGCATCTGCTAATGGCACTGCACTGCGAACAACATCCCAGCCCTCGAGCAGCAGAGCAGCAGTAGCAGCGGTAGTGACACACAGAGTCAAGCCCAGTCACTATTCGCACTCGGCTCGGCGCGGCGGCGCGGCGGGGGCCAAACTTTCCAGACAGACGGTTGGTCTGTGTGTGTTTTTACATGTGTGTTTGTAGGCTGCCTGCTGAGCGCCGCCGTCTAAACCAACAGCCCGAATGTGAAACTATTAGACAGCTCTATCCGGGTCAAACCCTGGCCCGGGCTCGGGCCTTTAACACCGACGCTACGGTCTCGCGATACTTTCCACCGAAAATGAGTGAAAATAACAATGTTTCGCGATTCCTGGGCTAAAGTCTATACGATAACTTTTTATCGCAAAAAATTCACTAAAAGTGTCACAAAGCGGATTCCCGTGTTCTACCTAACTTTAAACTGATTGTTTCATTGGGCGGCCTCGTAATGTTGGATGGAACATTATTATCCTTTCAATGAAACTTTCGTGTTGGTTTCGTTTTGTTTTTGTTTGTTTGTTTTTTCTCTTCCCAACGGCTGCAGCAGGGTACTCTGGCAGAGTGAGACACACGGTGTTCGTGTCGAACGGTAACGTACAGTCGGTCTGTGCGGTCGATGAACTCACCCCTCACGCCCCCCGGGTCCCCTCCTGCTCCGCGTGCCCCACCTGCCCCACCTCCTCAGCCACCCCTCTTCCGTACCATCCCCTTTCCCCCTCCACCTTTCACCTCCACCACTACCTCCGCCTGGGCGAACACCACCCCCTACTACCCCTCTCACACCCCCACCCACACCACACCCCACCACACCGCACCCCACCCCACCCCGCCCTACGGCACGGAACGCCATCAGTAGTTGCCTGCCCGCCACCAGGACGATTTTTCACGGCCTTCCACTTACAGTCCCGCCCGTGCCGGGGGCGGCCGGGGGGCGGCCGGGGGGCGGCCGGGGGGCGGCCGGGGGGCGGCCGGGGGGCGGCCGGGGGGCGGCCGGGGGGCAGCAACACAGCGCGGCTGGGACTCGAGCGGCTCGTACAGAAGGAAACCGATACCCTGCTCCCCTTTTACACTTCCCGGGACATTCGCCCTAAACACTGGAATGAGAAGGGGCAATTCTGAACCCCCCATAAAAGGGGGGCGCAATGCTGTGCACATCATTTGCCTTTAACATTTAATTGGGACAGTTTGTATTCGAACTGGTACAAAGTGTCTTATTAAGAATGTTTCATCGATAAGATATGCTATGTCCGGTCCGGAGAGTCATATCTCGATTTCATTTCTCTCAAACACCAACATCTCGTCGTTGTTACGATTTTACAGCACAGGCAGGTCTCTCGAAAAACATGAGCTTCTTAAGCCCGCTCGGATAGTCGCCGCTCCCATCCCAGCACTGGGCGAACATCCAGAGTGACACCCGAGCAACACCAAACACCATGCTGCAGGCTCTGGCGAAGACCAGCCGTCAGCTCGTAGGCAGGAGAGAGAGGGAGAAACGCGGTTATTCTATTCTCTTTCTCTCTTTGCCCTGCTGCAGCTCCATTGTTCTTTTTCTCGTCTTCCCCGGCGCCGTCGCCTTGAAAGCGGAATTTTATTTTCCCCTGGTACGGCAGAGGGGCGGGGCAGGGCAGGGCCGGCAACTGGCTTCATTTCGCAGAGAGCTAATCCGTGCAGCCGTGGCGGGGCGGGGAGTGGTGAGGTGGGGCGGGGTGCGGTGGTCGCTGGATGGCACACCAGCACCAGCAGCCCACCCCGGCCGAGGACGCGATGAGAAGAGAGAAAATCAAATCTTCCGCCGATAAAAGAAAAGAGAGCCGCGCGGCGTTTGCTCTAACTACATTTATTCGCATTAAGTTTGCTCCACTGCGATGTCCGTCCCCAATCGGGTCGGAGTGGGGCGAGGCGCGCGGGCGGGGAGGGGCAGAGAGAACCAATCGCAGCTGAGGATGGGCGCGGTGGGGCCGAGAGTACACAGAGCTAAGCCGGAAGGGTTTCTCCTCGGGTTTCCATCTTGGCGGGAAGGGATCTATAACCTCCACTCTTAAAATCATCAGAGCTCTTGAAGAGAAACTTCAAAATTTGCAAAGCTAGGTCCAAGTCCACGACCCAAGGAGAACAGGATAGTCACAGGTACATCAAAATGACGTCAAATAGTCACGAAATAGTCAAAGACACCAAGATGACTTGAAAGTGACAAACCTGTTCTCCTTGGGGATATTCCCTACACTTTCAGATTCTTACTGGGCTTCTTTTACTGTAAACGTTTCGACATTTTAAATGTGTCCACGTATTATAATCCTTTTCCTCTCTTTCGATTGGCCGGTTCCTCTGGAACTACGAATGCGTGCCGTCTTTCCGCGGCCTTCTTTTAGCCCGCAACCGGCCGGAGAGCCTACACCGTATTAACTACATCGTGGGCAAGGCCAAGCTTGTGGGAAATTGGAAATAATGTGTTAGTGCCCTTGGGATCGTCCAGAAAGTACGCCCGTTTTGCTCAGATTTTGTTCGGCAAATGGCGGGAGCACGGCGCCTGCGAGAATCCGGGTAGGCCACCCCACAATACACGTATGAACTGTGGGCGAGATGTTGCCTACCCAGGCACTATGAGAGCTAGCATAGGACTAAACGTGGACGTTTCGTAACAATGAACGACAGACGACGTACTCTCTGGATGATCCCCTACACAATAAATTATTTACATTACGGCCGTTCAAAAGGCAGGCGAGAAATCGGTTTTAAAAAAGTAGGACAAATTAATGTGTCGATGCTTGGGAATGTATGAAAATCTAAAGCAGATAGTGAACCTTGGGGTAGGGTGAGCATCTCATCGTCTCAATTTCTGTATTGGGAAAAAAAGTCATCCCAATTCGAGGTTAATTGTTTCAGAACGCAAAAAGTGGCACAAAACACACAAACCCATAGGCGGCTTCGGACATCCGCCGGCACAACCCCGACAAATGCAGTACTCACCCGGTGCAGGCCCCGGGCCGCTGGAGGGCGGCGGCTGGCCCCGGACCACGTCATCCTGGCGGGGCCGCGGGCCCGTGTACTCGTGCCAGCGGTACGTGCTCCGGTACTCCGAGTGCAGCTGCAAAGAGACAGAGAAGGAGTTAGCGCACAACGGACAGGAGTTTAATAGAATTTTACCAACTAAATTTGCTATGGTCTATTTTTATATTTTCATCAGACTTATTCACGATGCACGAGGCCAGAAATTTTCGTGTACTCTGTAAATTCAAAAATGTACATAGTTTACTTTGAACAAAGTGTACATGGAATGTATACTTTAGTTAATGTGTACATAGAATACACGTTATTCTTTAAATAATTGACAGAGAACCCGGGCAACAGTTTCAGTCCAATAAGCTGCCGAGCCTGGCCGGTGGGCCGGTGGTGGGTGGCGTGGCTGCTAAGCCCGAGGTGGGCTCGCGGTCGGCCCTGAGGCTGGGCCCGGGGCTGCGCTCGCTAGGCCTCCAGCAACAAGTAGTGCAGGGCGGCGCCGCTGACGGCCCTCAAAGAGCCGCGGAGAGCGGGACGAGAAATAAGTAATGCTGCAGCGCATGCGGTGCGCTTGGTCGTGGCTGAGGAGAGTGTCTGAGGGAGAGAACTCCGGGGACCAGCCGGAGCACACCAGGGAGAGCAGCATGGGAAAGGGGGGAGAAAAGGGATAAGAGAAAGCGTCGGCAAAGGAAGAAGGGGGTGTGCGCCAACCAGGAAGGCTTGGCTACTTTGCGTGGCCCGCCCGACCCCACCCCGTCCCGCCCGACAGCCCGTGTCCCCCGTCCCTCCGCATCGATGTAGCGTGCGGGGGGTTCCGACCGGCTGGAAAATCGAACTCATGCAGTCGTGCTGGGACTGGCGGCCGGTCG